CAGGGAAGGAAAAGGGCAGGGACAGCTGTCAGGGGCCTTGCACAGGGAAGTCTCCATACCTAACTTTACCATTCTAAATCCTTTCCTCCTTTTCACCTCTCTCCCAGCCACCCTGCCAGTCCCCTAGCTAGCTTCAGGCCTTCAACACACTCTTCTCCAGTAGTAAGAACCCACATTGGGTCACACGAGAGGGTGGCCACACACCACACTCTTCTAGGTACAAGTCAGCCATGGCAAACCTTTTAGAGCTTTCAGTGATAGCCTGCCGTGGCACACGTGCCATAGCTTCACCACCACTGGCATAAATGGACTGAAGGAGGGGACTTGGCTTAAGTTTTTCCTTAGGGCAACTCTAACCTAGTTATGCACAGACCTTTTTCTAGACCTGGCCCAAATGGAAGAAGCCCTTCTTGATTGCTATTGCTCCCCTTCTCACCCCTATTCCCTGTGTCTCCCCTAGTCCCGTCTGTAGTGTTTGTATCATGTCACTATGACAAAGCCTTCAGAAAGAAAAAAGCACTCTTGCCACCACTAGCACCTTGCCACTATTAAAAAAAAATCTCTATATTTGTGTTTATATATTTTTAAAAGTTTATAAAAAGCCTTTCTGTTATCTGCAGCCTTCCAAAGGTGACTGGCCTGGTGAGCCACTCCAGTGCTCAGACCTTTGGCCTTTTAAGGTCCCCTATCCCCCCACCCCCCACTGGCCTAAGGGGCCACTGCATAAAAATCCCAGGCTCAATTTTGCCTGGTCCAGCCCAGATAAGACTCTCTACAAAAAAAATCCTGCTCCCAAAGGCAGGGGTAAGGCCACTGGTGACTTCACATTTCCAACAGCATTGCTGGCCCCTGCTTCAAAGCCCAGGGATGGGACGGGGAAGCTGAGGATGGCTCCTGAGAAAGGGCCTTACCTCCTAATTGGCACAGTGAGAATAAACCCTCTTCCCTTTTCCCCACCCATCACCCTCCCCCCATGAACCCCATATGGGGCAGCTTTATCTTTAGGGTGATTTCTTCAGTACCCGTTTGTGTGACTAGACCCCACCCTCACTCTGAAGTAGGGTCCTAAATCCCTGGGGAGGGCTCAAGGGAAAAGCATGGATATGCATGCACCGGGCTCCATCTCTGTAGCAGGGGACAGACAAAGATTCCAGCCACGACTCATCAGGGATCTGTGGGGAGAAGAAATACAGGACAAAGTAAGAGATTCTTCTGGGGGCAGGCCAACTTCCCACTGTCCAGATTCATGCCCAGGAGAACAGAGACACCCTCTCCTTACACACAAACCCCTTTCTGCTGTCTTGTGGGAGTGAGGCACTGCTGAGCGGCCTGGAGGTCCCATTTGGAGACCATGTCACTATAATATGACATCTTCCCTCCAGTTCTACAGAACCTCTGGCTACCCCTTTTCCTAAATCTCTCCCTAGTGTAGATCACAGGAATAGCTGGACATCCAGGACCAGACATAGGTTTTAAGATGCTATTGTGAATTTAGAGTGCCATACCTGGCTCAAAGTTGAAGTCCAGTCCCTCACCCCCATCCATTAGGTCGCTGATGATGTTATCCATGTCACACTCCAGGTTTTCCATGTACATATCAAGATCTAGATCCTGAGGCATTCTGTCTTGGCTTGCTGCTTCAGTAGAAGGTGTGAGCACAGAAGCTCCCAGGGCCTTGGGGATGGGAGCACCTGCCATGACTGGAGGTGGTACCATCATAGGTAGGCTGGGAACCAGACTGCTGGGGCCTGGAGCCTCTAGGGGCTTGGGACACAGGCCCACTCCTGTGGGCAGCTTACTGGAGGAAGGTATCCCACCCAGCAACAGAAGTGTGGGAGCCTGGGACAGAATAGGATCTACCTGGGTCATGAGGACATCAGCAGGGGGTGGTGGCGTATCAGAGGTAAGCAGGGCCTCTAGAGACTGGGAGCTTGAGAAGCACCCTTCTCCTGCTGCCAGGGGCCCCTCTGCTGGGCTGAAGAGGGAGGTGCTGTAGGATTGTAAGGGGCCAGTAACCCCAGCATGCTGCAAAGAGAAGCCTGAGAGACTGCTCCGGGATAGCAACGAGTGGGGAGATGTGAGATTGAGCCCATCTAGCAGCTCCAGATCTTCATTTAGGGTGGGGACACCCTCTGCATAGCTGCTGACTGAGGCTGGAATTTCCTCTGCCAGCACCTCAGATTCTGGTCTCATGGGAGACAGCCGGGTACTGACAGAGCTAGCATTTGAATTGCTTCGTGGACGGAAGGTGGTCCACATATCGGCTTCTTCACGGCTTCGAGAGCAAGGGCTGCCTGACCACTTGGCAAAGTGGCTGACAGGGCTCGTAGGAGTGGCACCTTCAGGGGGAGCTGGCAGCACAGTTGGTTTCTTCTTGGGGACCTTGTTGCGGCCGCGGAGCAGCTTGCTGCTGCTATCCATGGAAGCAGCCCTGCGGCGGGGTGCCTTGCCGCTCTTGCCTCCTTCAGGGTTCAGCATCCACCAAGAGCTCTTGCCAGTGGCCTCGTTGTGAACCTTGATGAACTTGCTGTGCAAGGACAGGTTGTGTCGGATGGAGTTCTGGAGGAGGCAGAGTGAGCAGGAAAGAGGCATGAGGTATGCGGAGGGGAGGTAGGTGGCCAGCAGATTAGCTACCTAAAGGGAGGTTGGGACACAGCAGGGGTGTACCTGGAGACTCAAAGTCCAATCAAGGGGGAAACCTGCAGAGGGGAGAGGAAGGAGCTGAGGAGGGGGAGGGAAGGGAGGGAGATCATACACAGTTCCCCCTCTAGGACAAGGAGTTCAGACTCTGCCCCTGACTTCTTTGCACAGGGGTACCCAAAATAAAATAACAACCTACTACAGAGGGCAGAGTGCCCACCAGGGGAAAGCTCCTTCCCAGTTTTTGGGGAGTATCTGGGGCTAGTGACCCAGCAAGAACTAAAGTTCAGATGGGAAAAAGCATTCCACACCTCTACCCCTTTTCTTTTGAGACAGGGTCTTGCTATATAGCCTAGGCTGGCCTTGAACTCATGGTGGGAGATCCTCCTGCCTCAGCCTTCCAAGTGCTGGGGTTACAGGCATGCAGCACCATGCCTGACTTTCACCCCTTTTCTTGACAGCAGGTTGGTTGGAGATTATAGGACAGTGGTCACACACCCCTGTCCTAGGCCAGTTCTCTGAAGAGGCTGAGGGGCTGGAACCTCAGTGCAGCTGGTGCTCCTTTCCTTACTAAACATTTGGGCCACCGGCCCTCTATATGATTGGAAGATTCCTTTTTGAATCTCAGCTTTATTTCTATCGGCGACATATACCCTTCACCAGAGTTATGAGGAACAATCTGTCCCTCCCTCTTTTTCCTAGGAGGGATCTCCTCTCTAAATTCTCCTAGTTCTTCAAGACCAAGTTTAAATTCCAGCTCTTTTATGAAGTGGTTGCTTGACTCTGACAGCCAGATTTCTTGCAGAGTAATTTTAAGTCTGTCCCACACAATTGTAACCAATCTACATACATTGCATGGTTTATGGTTCCATGTAATTAGACTCATCGAGTGCAAGTGCCAAGGGCATAGACAATGCTGTAGTTCCACAGCTTCCAATAGTGCGCCCTCAGAGTACCAAGCCCACAGCATATCAAATTCACAGTACACAACATTTCTTGCCTGATTGGTGAGTGGCCCCTAGGTGAGGGCAGTGAGGCTTCCCTTGCGACTCTATCAGTGCCCCCTACTATCATTAAACTGCCCAGGCTGGTCTTGAAAATGGGATCCTCCTACCTCAATTTCCAAGAGATTAGAGACTACAGGCTCCAATTGGGACTACAGGCTTAATTCCATGTCCAGCTTCTATCAGCTCTTGAGTGCCTTGGATATTGGAAGCTATGGGCTTTCTTTTCCTCCCTCACTGGTTATCATTCTGCTAGGGACACTCACCCCACTCCCTGAGGCCAGGGGGCAAGACTGAGATGGTTGGTTTCTTGAGCTCTGGGTATAGCTCATTTTTACAGGTTAATGAAGGCTAGTTACACCACAGTTTTGGACCCCCCCCCTTTCTTTCCCTACTCCCTTCCTAGCTCCTTTCCCCCACTTCTCAGGAATTTGTGAATAATCTCTCTACCTTAAGGGCATTTGACCTCCCACATGGAGCTCTTCAGTTTAGAAACTCATAAGGAGCTAGATGTGCTTGGAGCAAAGTAGGAGGCTAAGGCTACTGACAGTAGGGAGCCATTCATGTCTCTGGTGCTTTCAGATAAGGAGACCTTTTGCTTGGGGAGCGCTCTTGAGCAGCTTCTTATTCCATAGCTCTTTAGCCAAAGAACTTATCTCCCTGGCACCTTGTGGTCATGGCACTCCAATTTCTCTTGCTGCACTAATGCTTCTAGCTCCTTCAAGGACTTGCACTTGTCCATCGAGCCTGGGCTCTTCGTAACTAAGGACTAGTGACTCCTGGCACTGTGATTTCATCCCTTCTCATTCTTTTAACTCTGGGTCTACTGAGAAGGCCCATTCCTTTCCCTACTACTTTTCCTACTAGTACCTATGAAGCCCATTTGTTCATCTTTTCTTCTTTAAGCCTTGGAACTAGCAAGTGGGAGAGGTTAGTTCCCTAGAAATCTGTAACTCTTACATGCTTGGAGGGGGGTGACTGCTAATTGCTCCCCAAGCCACCTAACCTAAGCTGTCTTGTTCTAAGTGAGTGCCGCCCCCTGGTGGGGTGGGAGTAACCTTGGCACATCACCAGGGAAGCCAATTCAGGCTTGACGCTTCCCCAGAAGGCTGGTGAGGGCCTTGGAAGCCCGACTCAGCCTGATTTGGCTTTACAATCTTTCCAATGAAAGCAAGCCATGTGCTTCTTACAGAAACAGGACTTACAGTTAGACCTGAGTTCAAATCTACATTCTGCCGATAGCAGGCACATTTCCTAACCTTTCTGTACTTTCGTTTCCTAATATGCAAAAATGTGGAATCTCAGAATTGCTGTGAAGATTAATAAAATGAAAAAATTTAAAAACTATTTTGTAAGCTATAAAGGAGGGACTGTACTCCCACAATATAACTAACAACTCATGGTTATTTCTTCTACCCTGGAAAATGAACCTAAGGGAAAAGAAAAACAGCTGTGTAGGCTGGGTCCAAGGAGGGGAGCTCTTTATAAGCTGAGACTGTGGTGTGGCAGTCTACCCAGAAATAGTGCAAAGGGTCTCACTCAGCTGTCCTGTCTTCTGTTCTGACCAGCCCTTATACATTGCATATTCAATCCCTTAGTCTCTGATACCTAAGGGAAGACCCCTCTGCTCATTGTAGACTCTATACTTTGTTTTATGCTGACCTCACTACCTATGGAGGCATAACACATTAATATGGATCAAGGTGCCCTGATTTTGTTACTTTTTGTTACTGAGAATCGAACTCAGGGACTTGAGATTGCCAGGCAGGCTCTGTGCTGCTGAGCTACAGCCTGGGCTCCCAATTTTGTGATTAGAGCGCGTATTACTTAGGATACGATTTTTTAAAGAGAGTATCTTAGGAGTTTTTTCCCCAGTTTATGAAAGGCCAAGAGAACTCCCAACCTAGTGCTCTAAAGTCAGAGTCCTAACATCTTTTTCTCATGAGTAATATTCCTCCACAGTAAATCATGACTTTCCCCTAAAAGCTTGGTGAGCCCCTTACAAAGGAGAATTTCTTGGCATTATAGGGTAGACTGAGTCAGATAGCAGTTCACAGTCCTTTTTCTTCTTAGTGCATAAGATCGACTACTTTTCCCCACGAATACTACTCTTTTTACCCTTTGCCACCCACTCCCTCCTCTGGGTAGAGCAATCCTAGAATAGTACCTTTACACTTCGATATAGGGAGGCAAGCAGGGAATTCAAGTAATCCCACAGGATTGGGAGAAAAGATGTTGGGGTAGGAGATGGGGGAGGAGGAAAGGTGAGGTTCATGTGGGTAATCCACACAGTTCCTGCTGTACATAGGATAAAGACTTCTCTGTGGGAGTAAGTATTTGGGGCAGCCCAAGCCAAAGTGCTGGATGTGTTGAACCGGGGAGTAGAGAATTTCATTTTCTCCATGGTAAGGACAGTGTTTTAATTCATCAGTGACCCTCCAGTATCAAGACCTGAGTGTGGCATATACTATATACCAATGTTTGTCCACCTTAAGACTGAAGTTGGGGGGGGGGGGGGTTAAAAAGGGTCCCAGAGTAATAGTAAGGGGGCTGAGGGGCCCAGGGATAGGTGGTGTTGGGATGCAGGTAAGGGGATCATAATTACCTTCCATCCCGCTGAGCTGTTGCTGTCACCTTTGTCCTTGAAGTAGGGCACAGTGCGGACCATCCACTCGTAGATCTGAGAGAGTGTCAGCCGCTTCTCCGGGGCGCTTTCAATGGCCTGGCTGATGAGTTCTGCATAGGACTGATTTCCCCAGGCATTCCGGCGGGAGCCTCCCTTCCGAGGACCTGTTACAGCCCCCAGGATCCCCGGCTGGGGGCCCCCTGCCGGCTCTGGGAGCTGGGAGGGCGACAGGATCGGTTCGGAGTGCCCCTCCGTGTGTACCTTCTGTCCCAGATCTGGCTCCACCTCGCGCGGCTCCGACGGCTCTGTAGCAAGCTCTGGTGTAGGAAGGGGCCAGGTGCAGGAGCGGGGACGACTCTGGGGTTCGAAGTCAGGATCACGGTCTACAATCGCGGCAGCCTCTGTGGCTGAATTCTTATTCCCTGGATCCATACGTGGAGCTGGACCTCCGTGGCTCAGCATTCAGTGGAGCCTGCCAGAGTCCCTCACCATGCTTCCCCCAAGGGGGGAAGCACCGAGGGCCAGGAGGCACATTCCTGCCAGTCCCCCCAAAGTCAAGAACTTCCTCCCTCACCTCAGGACGCTAGACCCCAAACTGTCCCTTCCACACAGTTCTCTGATCTCCCCGCCGACTACAGCCTGCAGCCTGAGAGCTCTTTTTCGAGACACCACCTGTAACCTCCGCCTAGCGAAGACACTTTTTCTCCAAGCTCTCACTTAGCTTCCTGCTCTTTTAAACCTGAGGCACGGTATCCCCTCATACATTGCGCTCCCATCCTCGAACGTCTTCTCAGCCGCAGGTCCCTCCCCCTTTTAAGTTGCTGCCCCCCGGACACTCCTCCCAAATTTCCTCCTCCCGGATCACTGCCCTCCCCCAAACCCCGCTCCCCAGCGTCACTTGCCCCTCCCCTGACTCCCCCTTCCCCGCCTCTTCCCTTCTCGCCACTCTTACTAGGGTTTAGGTTCTCGCGGACCC